GAGTAGATAGCCAAGGGTAAAACCAAATACTACTGTAAACAAACAAACAAACAACCCCCCCCCCAAAACAAAAAACCCCAAACCTAGTAATAAAATTACTTCTAATGACATCCTGCTATATCGTAGATCAGTGCCTTGTTCAGCTCTAAACGGGATGTCTCCATTAAATCTTTCCTCCCAGGGCTCAGGGAACCCTGAGGAAGAGGAGGTGGAAGAAGTGTGAGAACCAGAGAGGATGGAGGACACCAAGAAAACAAAGCCCTCTAAATCAACATGATAGGAGCACACATGAACTCACAGAGACTCACAGAGGCAGCATGCACAGATCCTGTATGGGTCCGTACCAGTTGGGATCCTAGGAGAATCCCCAATTGATAACCACTTGCAAATGAAAATTGGCTTCCCCAAGGGAGTCTCACTGGGGAATCAAACTGCTCTTAAGGGTAGGCTGCATGCCCAGCGGTAGACAGCCAAGAGAAAATGAACTCCAGGCATCTGTGGAGGTTCCCTGTCTCACATTGTGTCAGGGCTCTACCTTAAAAAAAAAAAAAACTTATTATTTTTATCTATATTTTGTCTTTTTACCTTTTAGATTCTTTGAGTATATATTATGGCTTCCAGTTTAGTGTTTTTATGGGATTCCTGAGTGTGCGAACGAGTGAATCAATCTCTGTTTCTTGTGCCTTCTCTTGGGCTCTTTTCCTTCTGTTTGTTTTGCCAATTTTGATGTGTTAGTTTTTGTTTTATTATTATCCCGTAGAAGCCTGCTTGTTTTCTAGTGAGAGAAAGAAAGGGGGTGAATCTAGATAAGGGGGAGGAGCTGGGAGGAGTAGAGGGAGGGGAAACCATAATCAGGATGTATTATATGAGGAAAAAAAGTCTATTTTCAATGAAAGGAAAAGAAAAAGCAAACAGGAGCAAAGAATGTTTGGAACATCCACGTCTTTTCAGTTGTATAAATAAAATGTCATATAATGTGTAGTTATCACGTCTTTCCAGTACATTTTAGAGGATGTGTAAGGATGGAAGAAGAGAACAAATCCTCTTGTAGACTTCTGGAGGGAGCCATAGGTTTCTCCCTGTGTGGATTTAGAAATCGGTCCCTTCTGTTTGAGCAGTCCCTGACAGTGGGATCAGGATCCATCCCTGGTTCATGAGATGGCTTTCTGGATCCCATTACCTGTGGTGGGAAGCCTTGCTCACCCTTGATGAAGAAGGGAGGGTCTGGGTCCTGCCTCAACTGAATGTACCAGGCTTAGCTGTCCGCCCCCATGGGAGAACTTACTCTGTTGGAAGAGGGGATAAGGGGTAGATTGGGGGGTGGGGAGCAAGAGGAGGGATGAGAAGGGGATCTGTGGTTGGTATGTAAAATAAATAAAAATAAATAAATCGGTCCTTCACACTACTTTGGAAGCAAATGGGGACACACTGGATGACTAACCACCCTTTGACACTGTGCTGTTTACCAACTTGATAACTTTGAAGTTAACAATGTGGAATAAGCTTTGGCAAATAGTGAGAGCCATGAAGTCGTTTGACAGATATGGACAAAAAAATTCAATACTGACATAGCTCTTGTTGTTTCTAGTGATTTTTTTTGTTATGTGTTAAAATCATGACAATCCTTGCTGCTATCAATAGGAAAGGCAATGCTTTGTAGTAGTGTCCAAAACACATTTCCATTCACAAAATACATTTTCTGCCCTGCTCCTAACTAGCCTGGAGGGCAGAGTTCACATTATTTGTTTTGCGTTCCTAGTATTTATCTATTGCAACTAATAAGCTCTCAACAGATGTGTGCTGGGCTGATGTGAGTGCATCTATGAAAGGAGGAATGGAGTTAAGCATTGCCCTAAATAACAAAGAAACTGGCAAGGTCCAAACCACACAAGAATACTTTAAGTTCCTGTTAACAACTATGTGCAAATTATTTATCTGATTTAACAGCCCTCCCCTTTAGAACAGTGGTTCTTAACCTTCCTAATACTATAACCCTTAATACAGTTCCTCATGCTGTGGTGACCCTCAACCATAAAATGATCTTCATTGCTACTTCATAACTGTAATTTTGCTATTGTTATGAATCATAATGTAAATATCTATGTTTTCTGATGGTCTTAGGCGACTCCTGTGAGGGAGTCTTTACTAAAGGGGTCTTTACCCACATGTTGAGAACCACTGCTTTAGACCATCATTTTAGATGGAGTTGCTGTGACATGTTTGTGAGATCAGTTATATAAGCTGCTAGTATACAGCTTAATAAATGGATGGTCCCTTTTTCATATCTGCCAAGCCCTTGATACTTACATTAAAATACTCCCTTAGTTTATACAATCAATATTTAAAAGACAAAACAAAACCAAGCTCTAGACTAGAGGCCAGAGAGGTGGTTCATTGGATAAGTGCTTGCTGTCCAAGCATGAGTATCTGAGTTCAAATCCGCAACACTCATGTAAGAAGCTAGGCATGGTGGCATGCACTGGTAACACTCGTGCCAGGGAGGAGAAAGCAAGCAGAGACAGGAGGATTCCAAAGGCTCAATAACCAGAGATTGTTGGTACTAACTATACTGTCCAGTCTAGACAAAAACAGCAAGTCTCAGGTTTGTTGAGGGACCTTGCCTCAAAGAAAAGCAGGGAACAGCCTGCGTACACAGTGGTGGCGTACACCTTTAATCCCAGCACTTGGGAGGCAGAAACAGGCAGATCTCTGAGTTCAAGGCCAGCCTGGTCTACAGAATGACTTCCAGGATATAGAGAAACCCTGTCTCAAAAAAAACACACACAAAAAAAATGGAGGGGCAATTGAGGAAGATATCTGAAAGTGACTGCCAGCCTCACGTACACATGGGCAAGAACACTTACACACATACCTGTATACATGCACCCTTCTACACTCACACCAGTGCTTTACAAAAGTAATATACAGGCTGACCATAGCAGCACATGTCTACACTCTTAGCACTTGGGGGGGGGGGGCAGTAGGAGATGCATAATGAGTCCCGGGACAGCTTGAGCTACATAGTAAGAGTCTATTTACAGAACAAAATGAATGACGAACAGCGGTGCAATGATTTCAAAGGCAGCGCTCTGCGAGTCACACCTAACAACTGTTGTGGTAGTTGAAGGACGATTACAGAGAATCTCAGCCAAAGGAAATCACACTGGTTGTGCCTCTAGGTTGTTTTCTCTCCCAGTTCCTGCCCCTCATCATGTGGGGGAAATCTTTCATGTCTTTGAAATACTTAGAAAAGAGTGATACTTTCCTTTAGCCTAATAATTGAAGGCTGAGCTAGCGTCTGTTCCTCCTTCTCTCCTTCTTCCCCACTCTCCTCTTTTTCTCTACTAAAATTCTACAGTTAATAAGGTAATTCATGGATTTGTAGTAATCTTTTGTATAAAATTGGAGTAATAGTTTTCGAAGAAGTGACATTTAGGTGACCCATGTAGTTACTGGCAGAGCCAGGACAAGAACCGAGACCTCAGTCAGCCCAACCCACCTTTGGTACAGTAGCCTATCTCTTGTTACACTAGTCAGTCTCCAAATCCAAAATTATTTTTGTTTCTGCTTTACAAATTGAATTTAATTGCAGTCCTTTCCATTTTAAAAGTGACAACTGGCTTGAAATTGCTCTATTTACCATTGTATCGCTGCCAGTGATACAAATCACCACTGTATCATTGCTATTGATAAAAATCACAATAAGTATTTACTCCTGAGGATTCAACCCCAAGAGAAAGGTAGAAATTACCAGAGGAGCCAGGAAGAGAAGTCTTTAGCAGAATGACTATTTGGATAAAACAGTGTTTCTCCTAGCAATTTAGTATGGCAGGTAGATCCTTAAGTAATGAGAGAAGCAGAAAGGGTGAGCTTTCCATTTTTACCTGGTTCACTCTCAACGACCATGATCTTCAAATTGAAAAGGAGATCATCAACAATTTTGCAATGGAATTAGAGGCCAAGAAAAATAGGGAAGAAATAGAACACAGTTAAATGCTTCAGACGGAAGAAGGCTTCATGTATATGTTCCCAGACACCAGCCAAACTCAGCAGACATAACTCTGACATAAGTAATATTTGAGAACGAGGCAGTGCAGACAAATGGGCTAAAACTGAATGTGGATGGCTAATTTCTGAACCACGGATTGATAAACCTGCTGTAGATTTCTCATTAAGAGTCAATGCAATATAAAAATTTGGTAAGTGCCAAAAAGTATAATGAGGAAAATAGCTCAAAATTTGTACCACTATCACTTAGGGAATTATTATTAAAGTTGTTTGCATATGTATACTTATGTGTAAAATCTAAGGTTTAACATTTTGTATTGTGTACAAACTAATCTAATTGTAGACATGCCATAATATGCTTAATCAGTTTCTAAGTCCTCAACATTTAGGTAAAAACATATTTTCAGAAAATTTGAGTACTTAGGACACAAAACAATGACATATCCCAATTCTCTGACCAAGAGTCTTGTCAGTTTTAAATATACTCAGTTTTAAAAGTGATATTTCTAGGTGACCTAAAAGCTAATAACAGAATGCATAATGGTTCAGAAAATGACAAAGTTCAGACACTTTGACTAGAACAGTCAATGAGTCAATGGCAACATCAAATGTTTATGGCCTAGAGAAGGACTGAATTCCCAAAACTTAACCAGAAAAATCTGGGTTTGAGAGGGTGGCCTTGGAAATGTCATCTGTTGGAAAAAGTTGCATTTAAAGTTGTAGGACTGACTGGTAGATTGTGTTTAAACTGTCAAGAAGAGCTTAGGAAAGATGCTTTTAGATTTAATAGACAAAATTCAGATTCCAACTCATAAAAGCAAATCATAAAAGTCAGTGTAGATCATCTCGGGAAATTAATCCATACCACTTAAGAACAATATAATGTCATCTTAACACTTCGGACATGCCAAGAATCTATAAAGCAGGACATCGAACGGAACGATCTCCAGTGTATCGATCCTGTGCTACCTTTATAGAATGCTAACACTTACTGTATCTGCTTCTTTTCCATCAATCATCTGAAGATCATTCAAAGACCACTTTTTTGTTACTTCGTACTTTTCATCTAGGCCTACTCTGTAGTGCTTCACCATGATGATTTTTACTTCATCAGTTTTGGTCACTGTAGGGCAGAAAAAAGACTTCGTTTATACAAACTCTTACTTTACATATTCTCCAAGTCACATTGCAGTATTTATTTATCTCCTTTTTATTTAATGACCTTGTACCCAAATTATAAGTACACTCCTAATATAAGTCCCAGTGTAATCTGGACTTTTGCCAACATGCTTCCAAATTTGCTCAAGACATTAACTTTATTTTGTGACAGTTGTCCGTCAGAACACTGAGCAGTGCACTTTGAACTCTGGGCTTTGTGGTGAGGCAGAAAATAAAAGGCTGAGCATGAGCAGACAGTTGAGGACAAAATGTTCACTAGAACAAGTCAGAATCTTAGTTGATGAGCATATGAGAAAATAAGGTACAAATAGCAAACAGCTCTGTTCGTACAGCAATTCAGTATTGAAGAGCGACACTTCTTCTAAATCTGCTATGAAAAGTTGAATGCAGACGTGCCTGTGACACATCTTCCAGTGACTTGTTTGATAACGTTTGAGATTGTCACCCATGTCTCTCCAACTCTAGTGTTCAAAATGTGCCACCAGCACAGACGGTGTTATTATTCTACATTGAGAGGCATGGGGGAAATCCTTCCATACTTAATGTGAACAAAACGAGAACAATAATTTCCTGGCCCTGAAATCATTTGTCTCTGGTCTCTTTGGAATACTGAGTTGTTCTATTAAAATTATCAATGATTCAAAAATTACTCAGTATTTAGCAAGTGTTTGCTATTGGCTGCATAGATTATAAGTGGCACAGGGAGAGAAGGAAGAAACCTGGTTTCTGCTCTGATGCTCAGGATTTCAGTAGGAGGACAGGACTATCCACGGGTCATATCTACTAGGTTATTGTAAGGAGGTGGCGGAGGCGATAAGATGCCTGGAGTTTTCTTTGCAGATGGTTAATGTCACCTGGCAGATTGTAAGCTGATTGTGTCTTCTTGAGTGAGACTGGAATTTGTTTTGGGAAAAGATTCCTTGGGTTCTGGGAGGTTTCCTTTGGCAGGCTCCTGTGATTTGAGTGTGTCCCCCAAGTTCTTGTGCTGGAAACTTCATCTGCATTGCGACGATGTTGAGAGGCCAGGCCTTTAAGAGATTAGGTCATGAGGTCAGAGCCCTCATGAGTGGATCAATGGTGCTATTGCGGGGGTGGGGTAGCTTTTGTGCGAGTATGTTCCTAATGAAAGGATGCTCGGTCTAACATCGGCCTCTCTTTTCTCCTCTCTTGTTCTCACTCCCACACTCTTTCTCTGACTTCCACTACAGATGATGCAACAAGGCTCTCACCAGATGTGAGCTCCTCAACCTTGGAATACTCATCTCCCCCTAGAACTCTGAGAAATAAATCTGTTCTTTATAAATTACTAAGTCACCAGTAGTTTGTTATAGTAGCACAAAACACACTAAGACATGTGACCTTCTAGCCATGTAGCTATAAAGCAATACATTACAATATACTCGTCGTCATAGCTGAGTGACATGAGCAGGCCATCTGGTGGGGAATTAGAGGATCATCATGTGGGCACTCCTAGGAGAGGACAGTATGAGGAAGCTGACAGCGGAAGTTGAATTTTACCAGGTAAAGGGAAGAGAGTAAACTATGTAGAGTGGTTGGTATTAACACACGATGGACAATAAGATTAGCTAGGTTTGGAAAGCTGTTAAAATGTGTTGCATGACTTTAGACTTCAAAAGAAGCAGGAACCACTCTGGAGCTGTGATGTTTAGCATTCATCCTCTGGAGAATCCAAATCTGGGGAATCCAGAAGTGACCGTGATGTCAGTTAACTGCCTCCTAGAGAAGGGAGTCTGAACCAGTTGATGAGTCCAACATGAGGGCATTGGATCAGGTGTTCCGTGCAAGCGCCTACAGTGACACCTAGCCAACAGTCCCCCTTCCCTTTGTGGGCCAGGATTTAATAACATGGTGTCCTGTGCAGGAATTTCTCTGACAGCACAATGCACAGGACTCATTAGAGAAGAAAGTGGAGCTGAAGGGCCTTGGGGGAGACAATGCTCTCAGGGGGCTCTGCTGTGCAGAGTCCTGGAGTCAAATCCTGACACCACTGCAGTGTGGTTTACCAGAGGTAATTCGTCTCCAGAGAATAAAGGTCACTCACCGGTGTTAGAAAGGGGACACGAGAGGAAAACAGACTCACACGGAAAAGCTGAAGTACACAAATGACTCAGGAGAGTGGCCAGTAGACACTCACGGTTGAAGGGTTTTATTTAGTTTGCTAAAGGCTAGCAGTAGGCTCAGAATGGTGTGTGGGTGGTAAACAGAAGTTTAAGAGGAGGCTTTGATGACACTGGATTAGGATGCTACACCGTGGAAAGCAAACCATGGTAGTGAGTCCAAATGGAAAGGGATGGGATGTGGGCCAGACGGTGGGATGCACTAGATGTACACGTGCAGTGTCTGCAAGTTACCTCAGGAGGGATTGAGATGGAAGTTTCCCAGTCTTGGAGTGAGTTTTGACTTGTGTCTGCGGAATGGTTTTCCAGGGGAGACTCAAGGGAACATTTTCAGAGGAAAGAAGTGAGAGAGTGGAGAGAAAAGATGATCGCTAAGAGGCTGGAGGAGAGAGGAAGAGACAGACCCAATGGCATGACGCCACAGAAGTCAGATAATGAGAATAGCTCAGAGTTTGAGGCTAATCCTGTGAATTCCCTGAGGTGAGACAGAGGGCCATGGGTCTGAATCTGAACCGGAGGAAGATTGTTGACTCCTGTCCTGAAGGCTGTTTCTTTATGGTGACTGGAGAAGGTGGCTTGCAGAAGACGCCATGCACTAACACGGATTGCATGTACACTGTGTGCTGGCCCCTGGGCCAGGTAGGATTCTAGCTAGTAGGAAGAGAGGCTAAAGGGTATGATGCAAACCACACATTCTAGGAATTTTGAAGAGAAGGGATGACATATTTGGGGACAGAGGAGGTGACTGAGGCGCATGTCTGGAGAAGACATCAATTACAGGTCTTAACTTGGGGCCAATGACGCTGAGACTCTGGGATCTTCTTGACATTGTGAGAAGTTGGCCTGTTTCTGCACAGCTATATTTCTCTAGCCCCAAAGGAGACCCATGCACATGGGCCTAGATGTTAGCCTAGGAAGATGGAAAGAGAAGAGGACAAGGAGTGTGCTGGTGGGCCGAAGAGGAGGCGCTGAAGGTGTAACAGCTTCCACCAGGAGGCAGTTGTGTCTATCTAGTTAGAAGGTCCACCATCAGGACTGTTACTGCCCCAGCCTGCTGTCTCACCAGCCTTCGAGGGGCGGAGAGACAACAGGGGTAAAGAGATTTGGAGAGGTAATTGGGCATCGTACAAAAGTATGATTTTCAGGGAGCAAATCCCACGGCATAGTCTACGAGTTATGAAAGCCTGCTGATCGACTGTGGAAATCACTCATCCACTTCATTAAGCCGATAAATATTTAAATGTCCCTTGTGAATCAAGCACAGTGCTAGGAATTGAAAAAAATAATGAATTCCCATAAGGCACCCTTCCTGCTCTCACTGCGCCTGCAGAGAAAGGAGGCTTCCGAGGAAAATATGCGAAGAGTGCTGCGAACACTGCAGTGAAGGAGGCTCTGTGGGACCAGGGCGTAGAAGAGGGGCGTGGCCAGCACAATGGAGGAGGGGCACGGCCGGCCGCCCCGACTATCTGAGTGCGGGAGGAAAGGCTCAGAGAGGGGGGAATCTGAGTTGTCACAGGCAACAGAACTTACTGGAACGAAGAAAGGGATAAAGGCAATTTTAGCAATGCACGGGTGCAAAGGCCCCGAACACCCGGCACTTCTGAGTCTTGGCAAGTCTTTGGCCTTGTTGGCATGAAGCAAGAAGAAGGTGGACAGGCAGTAGGAAGAAGGTGAAGGAGGAGCTAGTTCCTGAAAGGCCTGGAATAGGTTCAGACATTATTCTGAAAACTCTGTACACATGGGGGTGTCACTGAAAAGCTTTAAATAGATGGAGAGGCCACGATTTAAATTTTAGAACATTTTCTTTTTTAATCAAGTGAAGATATTCATTCTTTAGACTTATTCAGAGTTCACACACACACACACACACACACACACACACACACACACACACACACCCTTGGGTATCAGTCCTGCTCAGCCTCCCTTTTTGAGACAAGGTTTCTCACTGGCCGTTCTCACTGAGTGGGTGAGGCTGCCTGGCCAGGAGCCCCGGGAATCTGCCTGCCTCCACCTTCTTAGTGCTGAGATAGCAAACATAATTTGTATTAATCACATATACAATAAATGCAGTTAGGTAATGTATTAATTAAATATATTTACCTCATGATATCATCTTACATTCTGCATATTTATTTTATGTTTTTTGGTTTTCTGAGACAGGGTTTCTCTGTGTAGCTTTGGAGCTTTTCCTGGAACTCACTCTGAAGCCCAGGCTGGCCTCGAACCCGCAGAGATCCACCTGCCTCTGCCTCCTGAGTGCTGGGATTAAAGGTGTGCGCCGCCGCCACCCGGCTATTATTTTATTTTTGTTAGTTTCATATACACGTACAATGTATGTTATTGTATTCATCCCCATCACCTGTCTTATCCCCCTTCCACTCCTACCGACTTTCTCTCCCTGACTAGTCCTCCCTCCTACTTTCTGTGTGTGTGTGTGTGTGTGTGTGTGTGTGTGTGTGTGTGTGTGTGTGTGTGTTGTACAGGTAGCCACAGCTGTGGCAGGCTCATGAATGCAACAGTCATGCAACATTCAGAAGACTGTATTTCATAGTATACCTCCTCATCCTCTGGCTCTTTGAATCTTTCCTCCTGTCCTTCCTGCTATCCCCTGACCCTTGAAAGAGGTGTACCCATGTCCTGTTTAGGACCGAGCACTCAACAGTCACTTATCCTCAGCACTTTTGAGCAGCTATGCAAACATTAAAACACTCTTTTGGGAAGTTCCATAAAGGATGGGTTGGAGACAGGGAAAGGAGAAAAGATGTTAAGAAGATAATCCCTACCAGTCATCAAATTTTCTTAC